ACTATTATAGCCTATTTAACATAGATATAATAGAAATAGAAAATAGAAAAAATTAGCAATACGTCATCTCTAGGCTATAGGATGGTAACAATTATCTTTTATTTCATTGTAACTGTTAGATTAACAATGTGGCGTCTGTTGTGCTATTTTTAAATTCACAGGCTTATTCTTGTAAGTTTAAGCCGTTTTGGTAGTAAATTAATAAGCAGTACTTATTAGTGATACCTAATCAGTTAAAAATAGTATTAACTATTCTATTACACTCAAAAAAAAAAATTAGAAAAAGCTTCCAATTTTCTTAATTAAACTTAATCTATTTTTTTTAGTTTTGATTCTTTAGAAAATTTTCATTACATGATTGAGAATTCATTGAGTTGTTGTCACTTTTAAAATTTTATCATTAATGATGCTGTCAGTACGTCATCCTACGGGTTTAATAACCTATGTATTATAAGTTATTCTATAAATTCAATTTTCAGGAATATATATCTTTAACATTAATAATCATTATGGTTAAGTCCATGAATTATATTTTATATAAAAGTATGAAAAGTACTACGTAATCGTATGAACAAAACATAGTTTATATGGAACAAAAGAGTAGCCATAAATTTTTATTTTCACGTTTACCTGTATGGCGATATTTTTGGAATGAATTTTTCTGAAAACATTGTTACTAACCCTAAACTACCAGTTCCTGAGCTTAGTCAACAGTCCAACTAAAATAAACTGAAATTACATTTTATGTAAACTTCAATCAAAAATGTGAAAACTAACAAAAAAACAAATCAAAATTTCGAAAGCCTCTCAAACTAAAACGACAACGCTTTCGCTTTGCGGTCGATAAAACGTTTTTGCCATAAAATAATGAGTGGACGGACAACAGGCGTCAAAGTAAACTTTGCAATGTAAACTGCGGTATAAACGTTGTTGGGTTCGCTGATGCTGACGATGACGATGGCGATGAAATCGTGTCAATGACATTTGGTTCTGATTATGCGGCATTGTACACCGTGTGATGTGTCTCAAACTGTGTATGGGTGTGTGAATGTCAGTGCATACTATGATGCAGTGCGGTTGAGTGGAGTGACTACAGTAATACTGTCGGCCAGCGGTGACGGTTGGCGGCATATGACATCAACCGAAGTGCACTCACGCATTGTTTTGCATATCTATTTCAGGTAAGTCTGATCCCCTTCTGCTTCCGCCACTGCAATGTTTATATGCACTTAAAAACTTTTGATGTTATGCCGTGACAAACTCATTACATTCAAGTTTATTGTTGCATTTTTATAAATTTAAATTGTTTTTGCTTTATGTGGAAATTTAAATAGGTTTCTCACTTTTTTTCTCATTTTTGTGGCAATACCACTGATTTCCATTATTGTTTCAACCAAATAATTTAAATATATTTAATGCTTATGGAAAAGTTGCATTAATTTAAATAGAAAAAAATCATGGGGTATAATATGTATAGTTTTCAACATTAATGGTAAGCATTTAAAGCTACTTTTGAGTATATTCCTTCAAATTTATAAAAAAAAAAGAATAAATATCAAGCTAGTCATAATGTTTTCTACGCACTCAAGGAAATATTAGAAAGGTCATGCAGCTCTAAAAAACCAATCAAACTAACCTTATCTGTCTGCCCGACTATATACCTGTCGCTCATTAGTTTACCAGGCTTAAAACAAAAACAAGTTTTTAGATATAAGCCTTAAATATAGTACTTGACAGATTTACTTAAATCAGTTCAATTTATCCCATAAATGCTATATAAACCAAATATCTCAAATACAGTCAAATTTCCCTAACTCGAACTTCTATAACTCGAATTTTCTATAACTCGAATAAAAATATTGGCATGAGATTGCATAAAGCTTGATATATTGATGTAAATAGTCAAACGATAGCGCACTACTTTAAAAAAAGCTGGAATTGCCCCATTTTTTAAATGGGACGAACAGGACGACATATTCTTTTAGTTTTTGATTAACATTGATGAAGACCGTGAATTGATGGAACAGAATTATTAAGCGTGGTTTAAAGTAAATAAAATATTTTCCAATGCTTCTCTTAACTATTATATTGAGCTTGGCAATGAAATTTGTTCATCAGGCTTTCCTACAGATGACGATATTATTGAGCATTTTAGCTCTGAATTAGTGGATCCGATTCTAAGCATAATGGAAAGTGATAATGCGGGTTCGGTAGATGAAATTGTTCATCAGTCTTTTAAAAAAGAAGTAGAAGACTTCAAAATTCGACGATCACTAAAAGGTTTGGAAAAAATTGGAATCTTTTTTTACTGAAAATAAGAAAAAAAAATTAAAATCCCAAACCTTAATTTCTGAATTTTTCACTGTATATATTTTAAATAAATATATTAAAAATATTTTATTTCAAAAATAAAAAAAATCGAAATGGTACTTCGTGTTATGGAAGTTTGACTATATAACCAAATATTATTTTTTTTTAAAAGTTGTAGAAATCGTATTATAGAGAGAGTCTTATTTATTCCAAATCTGAAATTGTTGATGTTTTCAATGAAAATTAAGAATGAGAGAACTGGATCTCTGCGGCAAGGCTTTATGTGCACTTTTTGTGTACCAAAATTGCTTCAAATAGGTACCATCATTCTCTTGCAATACATTTTAATATATATTAATATATTACACGTATGGATTATATTCACAAACTCAATAAATCCGCTTCAGTTTGTCGAATTAAAATAATAAATGACATATATTATACATCAAATCAAGAAATTAAATGTCAAATAGAGATGGCTTTATTACTCTTTCCACAAATTCAAAAAAATGGCATACAGTAGCAACATCAGCATCAACTTACATATCCAACTTATATATACGTTAAATATTATATCTGGTCCATTCTACTTTATAGCTTGAAATCTTGGACTTTAAAAATCCTAACAATAAACGAAATTAAATCGTTTGATATGTGATGCTACAGACATATTGTGAAGATTCCTTGAACGAAATACAGATTTATAAGAAATTTATATATCTTTATATGGCATTTAATATAAAATTTAATTTGAATAGAACTATTTGACTTTACATACAAATGTTTTTAAAATATTTTCACATTCATGTTTTTAATAAATTAATTAATTAAGAGAATGAAAGTCACTTTCAACTTTTATTTTTTAATTGAGTTACTAAATGATAAATGGAAATATTTTAAAAAAGCAGTGAAACTACACTAAAAACATGATTCGCCTCCAACCATTTATGCAAAATAAATGTTTCAGTCCAAAATAGTGAGTTTTATCTCAACAAATGCCTGAAACATACTTACATCCACATAACTCAACAAATACATATGAATAAGTTCCTAGGGGCTATTTTTTATAATCGTAATGTATGTTAGTAAATTTAAGGAAGTCGGGCACATTGTTCATGCCTGGGTCGAAAGTGCAAATTTTTTAAATTAAAAATTTAACTTTAATTGAAATGAGATTTTAATATTATTTTACTATTTATAATTGACTTTTAATGTTTAATTTGAAGGAATAAAAATTTTATATAAATTATTTTTTTGAATTAAGTTATTAACATTCATTTATATACGATACTGCACAAAGATAATTTAATTTATTTATAATAATCATGGCATTCAATTTTGACACGATTAAAGCTTGTTTACATCTCATTTATGTATTAATTTATCTTAGAAAAATATTATAAATAAACGCATTAAAAAAACTAATGCAATAGTTTCATTATTAAACGAATTAAACTACACCGGCTTCGCTGGACTGGTCACGTCGAGAGAAGGGATGACGAAGCTCCAACAGAAAAGGTATTGAAACAGCATTCGAAGAATGCAGAAATGAAAATAAATCGTGCCTTCGATACACTAGTCATGTTAAGACACTACTAACGGCACTTGATGTGTAAGATTGGATAAGGAACAGAGGTGCCTGAAGAGGAATGCTGCGGCAGGGAGAAGCCAAGTTATTATGGACATTTGAAATAAATGAGGTAAGTAATGCAAGAAGTAAATGTGCATAAGGTATACGTGAATGTGATATGAGAAAAGAAAACTAAGATTAAAGTCCTTAATACCGTCAATCACTAGACACTACTTAATCAAAAATAATTTAAACTTCGCTAGAGAGGTAAAATGTTACTCACTCGACAAGGATCTGTTTCAACACAAAAGCTACAAAAAAAACGCAATACTCCGCATAACGTGAAACCTAAACAATCATTCTATTGCAATTCTAAATACATTACAAAATAATGAAATTTTATTACTGTTACATTAAAACAAATTCCATTGTATTCAAACTCATATTATAAAAAAAAATTTTACAACCCATTCATACATATAAACAACATGATAGCAGAGTATAGTTGTGCTTTCAGTACAACTACGGTCCATATAATACGGTTCACTGCTTTGCATATTCTAACATTTGTACTGCTCAAGCAAACTTCCACGCTATCCATCCAAATTATCTAGCAATCTTCCAATATAACTACAATATAACTATAATATAACTATACTACACTATACAAGGGCTAATAATCTTTTTTAAAACCCAGCTACCGTGCAGAATTCAGTTAATGGCAATAATTAATTGAATTAAACTTAATTAGCTAAAATCAATTGCCTAATGTTAAAATACGCTTGGAAAGAAACGATACTAAAGATATTTAATAATTTAGCTTAATATGTATCATATAATAGGATAACTATTTTAAATATTCTGAATGTATTAATTATTGGGAAACACTGACTGTACTGCAATCACGGTTGCCACTTGGAAATTTTTTTGGACCTTTTTGTTTTCTCGTTCTGTGTCTTTTATAGTGTTATAAATGAACAAAATATAAAATAGTGCAAAGTTGCATTTATAAAAAAACTTAATTGGATATATCCACAATAAAGTTGGGACGTCAAAAATGTACTAGTTTTTGAAAATGAGTACCAAACGAAAAAAAAAAAAAAATATACCAATTTTTGGA